CATCAATTATTTGCTAACTTCATAGCGGTAAGCTATGTAATACATTATTAAACGGTTATAACATTGGCGTTTAACATCAATAGCACCTACGGGACACACTTAATAGGGAATAATTCTATAAGGCGTGATTACACAAACAAACTTAGAAGACAAACAGGCGTGAGGGTTGACTTGCAAACTGAGTTAGGGGTCGTTAGTGAGAAGCAACTTATCAAGAGGGAGGTCACGTTTTTTTGCTGAAACGGCAACTATGGGCTTAGACTAGCAAAAACCTATTAGCAATTTAATTTAAGAAGCCGACGTATACCCACCTCAGAAAAAAAAAATGAATGTCTATATTAAACGTGTATTTTACGGGTTTTTTAACGGGTTGTGGACTTCTGATGGCAGTCGCTCTGCTTAAAAAAGTCCAGCAGTATCGTCTTAGACTTGAAGCCGATTCCAGTCTAGTTAGGAAAAAGGTCGGGTGGGGAAGAAGAAGAATGTTTTTTTCTACTCTAATTTAGTCGATCTTTTCGCTTGAATCTCTAAATATTATCGTCAAGGAAATTTGCCTAAATTACTTCTTATGTAGTAAGCTATCTGTATCTAATATCTATTATTTTGACTTTACAAATAGACACTACAATTTTATTTATTAGTATTAATGATGATTGCAGCGGCGTTATCAAGTGGTGTCACGCCTGACACGCTTCAATCCTTGGAAAAGAGTGTCTAGTTATACCGTCAAGAACTAGCTGGTTATCACTGAAGTACAATGGATATACCACTTCGAAAATTATCTTCTCACGGGTTAGGTCTAAATCTTCAAACTCACCTGATGGAACGTAACGATTTATACGATGATTCTAAACGCGTCTACGCCTATCCAAAGAAACACTCGAAAAATTTAGAATCATAATTTGCCCGAAGAGTAGAAGCTGACAGCCATGTAATCTAAAATGTTAGCTGGACCATGATAATTGTAATTACCAGCTGACTCTCACAAATATGTCTCCGCCTCTCAAAGGAAATAAATATCCTCGTCGTTGCAACATTTTTAATTGATGCTCTGCTTTTATCGGTTGTTTCCTGATGTTATACTACCTTTTTTAATAAAAAAATACTACTTGAGGTAGTCGTTTAATTTTTTTTGAGTTCACTTCTTAAGAATCCATTTTTTTTATAATGTATGGTATGAAAAAGGTATGAAAAAAATATGACGAGTAAAATTTAGTGATCGAATGACCTCGTTACGTTTTTGTTTTAAATGTTATTTATAGATGGCGGTTTAACTATTTACTTTTACGTGGTTGTAATAAAAAAAATGTGAGTTTTTTATTAGTTCTATGATTGTAATTTCTTTCAGTATAGTGAGTAGTCTACCACCAAACAAAAATTGTTTAAAAACGGAATAAACTCTAAAATAAATGACAATGAACTAATTATTTTACTATCATTTACATAGATGGCGCTGATCACTAAATTTGTAAACTCCAGTCGTACGTCGGAGCAAACACATTATTTTTTAATCACACATAAGACCATGTCAGCATTTAAAATTTGTATTACAAATTACCAGGTCTTCACCCCATCTGATAGGTACGTACCTAATTAGATGTAGTTAAGAGTTTTACGTTATTACATTTGTCAATTTTTCAGAGTTGCTAAAAATGAAATGAATAATAAAAAGTCTTTATCTTTGAAATATTAGTATAGATTCGTTAGGAGATTAAGTTAAGTCCGTGTAGTGACGGATTAAGAATACGGAATGTCACTACCCCAATTCATCCCGTGGGTGTCGTAAGAGCCGACTAAGGGCGCAAAACAACGCAGGACACCAGCACTGCAAAAAGAAGGAAAACTTGATACAATCCCTATACCAACCCGTCTTTCCAGCGTGGTATAGTAGGCCAAAACCTCCTTTCTAAGGAGAGGCCTATGTCCAGCAGTGGACTATTAAAGGCTGTTGATGTGAGGAGATTAATGTGGGTGGAAGTGTACGTGCCAATAAGTCAGTTCAACGGTTATTGCAAGTTATTGATTGTATTAACAAGTTGTATAAAACCAATATAAACATAAATATTGTACAGTCGATAAATCTTTGAGATGGATGAAATAGATACAGCAAAATCTTTATGACAAAATTAAACTGGTACGTTTAAAACAATCTAAAATTTCTCCACAGATTGAACTCAAATTATGACACGATATATAACTCGCTTCAAAGATTATTTTTATCAATTTTTTGCGTCAGTTTTGTTTCTGATTTCTCATAGATGCTATAAGAACATGCCACAAGGAAATTGTAAAGAGATTATTATTCCTCAAACACAGAAGAAGATTTTTTTGGCTCTGTTAAGCACTTGAGTCGATGCAGATCATCAGATAGTGTCGATGATGAAGCAGCAGTTACAGCGTAGTTCGTTTGATTTTAACTAGATGGCGCTGAATTACATTTTCAGAGGTCAGTTTGACCCAATTCAATGCTGAGATGAAGCTTAGGTCCAGGATTAAGGCTTTAATACAGGTTTCATTATTTTACACGTCAGACTCATCAGTGAGTTAAATATAACCTCAAAGTTTAGTTAATTACAACAAAGCACAATTTTCTCAATTCACGATTCTTTGCAAAAAAGGGAATGATTAAATGAAACCCTTCTCGGCAAGGGATAATCTCCTCTGATTAAAGCGGTCCATTCAAATGGCAATTAGCGAATTTTCCTATGGATAAGTAAATATAGCTTTTAATGATACTACTACAAATGCAGAAATAATGTATCTGATCTTTAACGACACTTACAATTTATTTATAACTAACTGTTAACCGCTTTTGCCACATTTTTCATCGATGCTTTACTTCTATTGGTTATACATCAACAGCCTATAATAGTCCACTGCTGGACATAGGCCTCTCCTTAGAAAGGAGGTCTTGGCCTACTATACCATGCTGGCCAGACGAGTTGATATAGGGTTTGTTTCAAGTTTTCCTTCTCTTTTCAGTGCTGTTGTCCTGCGTAGTTTGCTCCTTTAGTCGACTCTTACGACTCTCTGTATTCTTAATCCGTCATGACGTGATGTTATATACCCTAGCTTTTGCCCGCGGCGCCGCCCGCGTATATCTCGGCTATTGCGAAAAAAAGGAGCCTATGTCCTTTCTCAAAAATCAAACTATCTCCATACCAAATTTCATCGGAATCGGTTCAGTGGTTGTTGTTGCCACTTACAAACTTCCACTTCCCTTTTCATCCCTTTAAAAGATGATTTCTGGGATAAATCCTATGTTCTCAATCATCATCAAGGAATCAAACTATTTCTATACCAAATTTGATCATAATCGGTTCAGCGATTTAGGCGTGAAGAGGTAACACACAGACAGACAGACACACTTTCGCATTTATATTTATAGCACGGATATGGTTATTAGTATGGGTAACCTTCTTCGGTAAATGGACTATTCAACATGAAGCATATTTCAATTCGAACTAATTTCCTGAGAACTCGCTTAGTTCAATATCAACAGCCATCACTAGTCCACTGCTGGACATAGGCCTTTCCTTAGAAAGGAGGGTTTGGTCTACTATACCACGCTGGCCAGACGGGTTGGTTTAGGGTTTGTTACAATTTTTCCTTCTCTTTGCAGTGATGTTGTCCTGCGAAGGTTGCTCCCTTCGGCCGTCTGATCCCAAACTAGGCAGAGACTGTACTATGGTAACCAGACTGCTGATAAACATACTTATATATTTAAATACATACATATCTATATCTATATACAAATAAATAAAATTGGGGTGTCTGTTTGTAATATTAAAATAACCGCTTTTTACTAAATGCATATGTATGTTTACACGGTACATATGCCAAAATAACATTATTTTCAATTTTTGTCTGTCGGTCTGTCTGTCTGTTTGTTCCGGGTAATCTCTGGAACGGCTGAACCGATTTCGACGGGACTTTCACTGGCAGATAGCTGATGACATAAGGAGTAACTTAGGCTACTTTTTTTAGACTAGCTTCGCCCCGCGGCGTTACCCGCGGTTATAACAACAAACGCGGGTAACACCGCGGGTCTCAGCTAGTTATAAATAAATTACACCCAGACACAAGACAAATGACCGTACTCATCACACAATATTTGTCCTGGGTGGGAATCGAACCCACGACCTCCGGATTAGCAGTCAGGATCACTAACCATTAGACCAACAGGGCCTTCAAATTTATAATATTACTTGAGGTTATGGTGAAGTTTTTGAGTAATAAAAAATGGTAGGTATACGGAAAACGGATGTTGTTGTTTCAGTTATTCGGACAATTTTAATTTCCCAAAAGTAAAATTAGAGATTAATTTTGTTTTAGGATGATTGTATTTATCCTAAAATAATGTCATTCGTAAGCAATTGAGGTAAAAGTTAGAAAAATAAATAATTGTAACGCTACGCCGTGCCAAGCCATATTAAGCTAAGCCAAGCTATATGAAGCCAAGCGGGGTTATATCAAGTCAAGCCAAGCCAATGCCGCGCCACGACAGTTTAGTGCCGAAACTGTCAGCCAAGGCCGCCATTAATCGTCGGCGACGTCACATCCAAATGTCAAGCAACGGTTATAAATTCCCGTCCCGCTCATTTGGTGGATTCATTCCGTTGTGTACTCTCGAATAAGTAGGATCTCTTGTAAAATTATATACGTATACAAATTATAATTATAATCATAAAATAAATAATTGATCAATAAGGGAAATAGTTCCGTTTATTATTGCCGCTTGTTATATAATTACTCTTTTTTAAGGCAATATCGTAAGAGCCGACTAAGGGAGCAAACTAAGCAGGACAACAGCACTGCAAAGAGAAGGAAAACTTGAAACAAACCCTATACCAACCCGTCTGGCCAGCGTGGTATAGTAGGCCAAAACCTCCTTTCTACGGAGAGGCCTATGTCCAGCAGTGGACTAGTATAGGCTGTTGATGATGAAGGCAATATCTTTCATGCTGATTTCGTATATACTTTTTATCGAAGCAGACAGCCTATGTGATGGAAAGTGGAACTGAAGAGTCATGTGTGCGCTGCCAGCTTTGGTAGTGCCAGCTCTGATAATTAAATATTGAGACTGTTAATTATTATTTTAAGCTTATTTCTTGTAGTTGTATCTGTTGATTCAAACTGCTATGGTTGTCATTTTCACTTGATGAGTTAATAATAATATTTTACCACATTCACTCAACGCCATCTAGTCCCAAACTAAGCAGAGCTTGTACTATTTATTTATTATCATTATTATTATTTACAGACACCTTAATGCTAACAGAACAATCCATGCGCAGAAAGTGATTATGGACTTACAGTATCATTACATTGTAAAATAAAAAGCATTCAAGTCGTAAAACAGAAAGTAGGTAACATTGCAATAAGAATTCATCAGCATAGTATAAAATTGTAAAAAACAGTACATATTCGGACACAAACGTAATAAATTCAACACATAATAAATGACAAAATTTGGTAAAACAAAACCCGTACACAATATTAAACGAGAAGATAACATTAATAACAAAGAATGACATCAATAATAAAGAATAACATCATGTGCACCAAGTCACTGTTAGGATATCCATTAATTAATCTGTACAGTACTGGCAACTGTCAACGTCTCCATGCAACACCCTGCTGCCTTGAGAAACGCTCCCTCGCCGCATAAGAATAAATCTATTGATGGGCTAAACGTGGAAATCTATCTGCGCCAGCAATGATGGATTATATGTAAAACCACGTATTAAGCGGAAGACATATCGCAGTCCCCGACGAACAAAATCGTAATAGGAAAATGACAATTTTACAGGAGCAAATAAAAACTGAATATCTTGAATACTATCAAGACTAAAAAGATGATTCTTTTATCAAAAATAGGGAATATTTTTTCGCACTAGATTTTTACTAAATTTTTATCATAAATTTTCTTTATCAGTAAGAAAATTGTGAAAATGACCATTACTGAAATAAGCTATGGAAAAAATTAACGCAAGCTAACTTTACGATAGTGTTCGACTGTAATCACAAATCGGTGTTGCTGTAGTAATCGTTCATTATGATATTGTTCCATGGTAAATATGAATATACTTTCTATTCGTAAAATGACATTGCAATCGTATTCGATGATATAACTGACTTTAATATTACGGTAAACATAAATTACATGCTTATTCGATGATCATTTTTAGGTGTTATGAAAGGTAAGCAGCAAAATTAACCATTTCGGTACCTATGTATAAATGAAGTTTTTATGTGTATTACTTTAAATTTGACATTATTTATCTATTTATGTTTTGATGCATATTGTATTAATTTTACAGGGTTATTAGGGGTGTGTGTGTGGTAAGGGTGGCTGTAAACATTTTAGAGTGTTTGTACATTAACCTGGCCAGGGACGGGCTTCCGTCCTCGTTTGGGTTGGTTTAGTTGAAGTTTTGTATCCAACTCGAATGAATCATTGTCGAAGTCATACTTATACTGTAAAATTGTTGGTTTCAAATGAGAAACTCTCACCTCCATCAATTTCGACCACTGAATTTTTCGGCCTTGGGTGTCGTTTAACCAACTCTTTCCACTAACAAGATTCTAACATTTTTCCCTCGAACAATATGGTAATAGCCGCTTACTCTAAAATTTTGACTTTTGAGATTTGGTAATAGGTTTTTGCGTTATTGATCGTGTAAATTTTCCACTTATGTTATACGTTGAACAAAAACATAAAGATCATTATTGAAGCGATAAATCCAAAAGTATTCATCGCCCGATCATAGAAAAAATTCAATGATTGTAATAGGGTGTGTAGATAACGAATATTTAATAAACCCGATTCTATCGTAATAGCGATTACCATAGTGTTCGTCGGGGACTGCGATATGCTACCAGAGCTAGGTTACGACGTACCGCCAACATACGATAGTCGACCATCCCTATAACATATAATGTGGGGTACAAATATGGATAGTAATAATACAATCGTTTAAATAGGTATCTAACGAAAGACTTCTGCACCTTCTCCACCTGCAGTACATGTTGGGCCTGATATGGATTCCACACTAAAGCATTCGTCTCCAAGGTACTTCGAACATACGCATTAAATAAGACACTCAGTGTTAGTTTGCTGTTAAAGCGATTGGATTGTCTTAGAACAAATCCGAGACTTTTCCGAGCCTTTTTACACATTTTATCAAAATGGTCGCGAAATGTCATTTGAGTATCGAACCAAGTACCCAAATCCTTCACTGTCGTCGCTCGTCGCAAGACGGTTTGCGATATTGTGTAATTCTCGTGAATTAGAGAACGGGCCCGACCATATGACACCACAACACACTTGTTAATGTTAAGGTTTAAACTGTTTAGGCGGCCCCAATTACAGACAGTATCAATATCGGCCTGTAACAGAGCGCAGTCAGAGGTGGTGGCAATCGGCCGCGCTAATTTAACGTCATCGGCGAACATCAAGCAGGTACTATTTTGAACTTTAGATGGTAAATCATTTATTATTATTAAGAATAATAATGGGCCAAGACAGCTGCCTTGACCTATACCCGAGTAGATGCTATATTCTTCAGATTTAGAATTGCTGTATAAAACATACTGTTTTCGATTTGAAAAGTAGTTTGAGAAGAAACATATGAGATTTTCCGAAAAACCTATGTTCGCCATCTTGGTAAGCAGCACATCATTATTTATCTGATCAAATGCCTTTTGAAAATCAAAATACGCCACGTCCACCTGTTTCCTCGCATCAATTTCATTTGAAATCATCATTGTAATATGTAAGAGGTTTGATGTGGTCGATCGGCCCGGCAAAAAACCGTGCTGTTGGTCACAGAACCATCCTCGTAGCTGATTGTATATGAGATTGTATAATATCGATTCCATTACTTTACCGAAGACCGATAAAACTGCTACTGCACGATAATTGTGTACATCACCCATGGAGCCACTCTTGTGTATGGGTAGAACTTTGGTTGTTTTCCATACAGAAGGATAGATATGATGTTTGAGACATAAGTTAAATATATGTAGAAGTGGATTCGCGAAAACTGCATAGCAGTCGCGAACAATTATCTGAGGTACCCCATCGGGACCCTGGGTGAATTTGGGTCGCAGTTTTTTTAGAGCGTTTAATACGTCACGTTTTTCTATGTAGTCTACTTGAACGTGAACATCAGGTCCGGTACATGCATGATGTAAGTTTAGGGCGGCTGTCATCGCAGAGCGCGGGTCCAGTACGGGCGCACTGGACAAAAACACACTGCTGAAGAACGCGGCAAAAGCATCAGCCACTTGTTGCGAGTTTAACATGCCGAATGTTGAAGGTTCATTTGACTTCCTAGTCTGTTTAATAAAGGACCAAAAAGTATTTGGGTTATATAAAATACTATTTTAAATTTTTTTAAAGTGGGTATATTTGTTTTTTTCTAGTAAAGATTTAAATTGTTTTCGATAATAACTAAAAAACGCATAATATAATTGATTTTTATTCGACATTTTGTATGTTTTGTGGAAGAAGTTTTTTAAATGTAAATAATATAGTAATTCGCGATTGTACCATTCAGGATATTTATTAGGTGTATTTGATGGTTTAGTGTAAGGGACAAACTTCTCAAAGGTATTATTTATTTTATCGTACAAGTAAGACACGGCTTGATTAGGGTCCTGTGTCTTATATATCGGCGACCAATCAATGAGAGATAATTGTGAGTAAAGTTCGCAATAATTTGCTTTTCTAAAGTTACGGAAACGTATAGGATTTTCTTTGTTTATATCTTGGGTTCGAGACGTGCTGTTAGGTAGGTAAAATCTATTTATATTCACTGTAATTTGTAATGGAAGGTGGTGAATTTCTGATTCAACAAGACTCACCTTGGATACCGAAACAGTGGGCGCTACATGATCCGCACAACTTAAAACTAAGTCAACTACTCGGTTGAGACCATTGTTGATGGTGTTATGTTGAGTGAGGTTACACATAGATAAGAATAATTTATAATCCTCGCGCACTGACTGTGGGACCGAGTACAGATTAAAGTCCCCTACTACTATTACTGGTGTTGTTTGCATTGATATCAAAGTTTCTATACAGTTAAAAATAGAGTAGTATCTTGCGTTTGGTATTTTCGGTGGTAGATAAACAACACAACAAATACAGTGATATTTGCCAAGACTTATTTGGCCGGCGACAAGTTCATCCTCCGGTGAGCACTCCAAGCTCACCTTGCGCAGTTGGTATGGCTGGCGCACTGCTAGTAGCACTCCACCTCCCCTACCGCCTTGTCGATCGCAGCGCAAAACAGAGTAATCAGGCGTGAACAACTCGGAATCATAAACGCTGTCGTCTAAGTTTGTTTCTGTGAGTGCCAATGTGTGGCCAGGAAGTTCGCTTAGCGCAGCCTTTATTTCATCCGTTCTACTTTTTAAACCCCGAACGTTTTGGTAGTATATTTTGCTTATTAACGTTTTAGGCTTCTCTTTGATTTTGGGTTCGAAAGGAATGACTAACATTTTTTGTACGATTTCGTGAAGTGTACCATTGCTGAATCGATGTTCCCGCTGGCCAGTTACCCGGACACATTAGAAACTTGAAATATTCACCATATCCTCCTATTATAAAACAGTTGTGGTTTTCGTGGGTAGGGTCTGGTTTTTTGATTGTAAAATCTGAGTCTGGTTGTTTCTTTTTAAGATATATTGAGATCTTTTCTGCGGTCACATCTGGGTGAATATTCCATACATGAACAAATTTTGCTGGTTCAATAGTCAGTAATTCGGTGTTTGCTACACCTGTCGCTCTTATTACAGAACGACGGAAACGACGAGGTTGATCCATGCTGTACCGCGTTCGATTCCATTATCTATCCCTTCATCCGATTTATGAATCACGACTGAAGAATACTCAGATGTAACGTTCGCCACATCTGCGTAGGTCGATTTCATGGCCCCACACGTCGTCATTGCAACGGGTAACTCTCGGGCGCCGTCGGGTGTCTTCGGTTCGTCTTCGTTGTGCGCACGAGTCTTTCTAGCTTCAACAGCGCTCGACGGTTTTTGTTTCTTCGTTGCTTTACCGCTGATGGCTTCAACGGCTTTTAGACGAGCTGGGCGCGTTAAGCGCTGTAAGGGCTCGGTATCAACAACTTCAGTGTCGGCGTTTGTGAGGGTAATAAATGCCGTTTCACCAATTGAAGGTACTTGATGGTTAGGTGTAACTGATTTTAGTTGAGAGATAATTACATTTTGCTCACTTATTTTTGTTTCAAGTTCACCAACTTTAATCACAAGCACGGATATTGTTTTATGTAACTCGCGTATGAGGTTTTCAAGCGCCTTTTGCGTCATATTATATATTTAAATTGTAAATAAACACGGAGCACAAGTATTGTGTGTGTAACTGTGTAAAATAACCTATACTAGACAACTGATATATATACATAAATACTTTTTTTTGGAAATACATACATATTATACATAGAAACACCCAGATCAAATGAAACATTAAAAGTTCGTGCACACGAATGTTTAACTTGAGCGGGAATCGAACCAGCGACCTTTAGGATAGCGTCCGTTATACAAACCACTACGCCATCCGGTCGTCATTTAGTATGTTTATTTTCGGGAATTGGTTTTCTATATTTTAGCACTTTTGCACGCGCCATGTTCACGGATCTACTTCAATATGGCGCTTGCAACATTGTCTAATTTGACTATATATAAATACACTTTGTAATACCCTTTCAAGCTTTAATCTATCTAATGCCTGTAAATAATTCACGACTTTTTTTAAAGAAAATAAAAGATAAAAGAATTTAGTAACTGTATAGTTTTAGACATTTATCAAATTACCAAATTAAAACACAATCATTAAAATATGACATATTGGGAAGTACATTAGACCACTTCTGTATTACTATAAAAATGGCACATTTTTTTTACACTAGCAACACAAAAAGGAGCGCTGGCAACGCCACTAATACGCCGCCATTTTGTAGCGCCCTTTTTGGTAGAAAAACAGACGTGGTCCAATTTAAGCGTCAGTTCAATATTAGTTACTCGCCCCTAAGAGTTTTCGCCACGATGATGTCGAATGCTCAGCAATAGGTAAATATAAAATAAAATAAGAAATAACGTAGTTTAAATTAAAAAAAAACCTACTTTCAACATACGCACGTATACATACACACATTTACACACTTAGACACACATCAGTAGCAGTAGTAGCGTAACCAAAATTCCGTCTTGTGATTGGTAACGCCAAGAGAGGATAATCCTAGGGAACATGGGGTTCCCACACGGGGTCGTCTACTCGTCTGTAGATGGCCCGAGGTATGTCGGGGCACCAGGGACGTCCTTTCTAGGGTATACCTGGTTCCCCGGCTATTGGTATACGAGACGGAATGCGGTTTTAGTCGGTTCGAGTCCGACATGCCACCGATAGGTGGTATCCGAAGGAATTGCCGCACGGAAAAAAAAAAGAAGAGGATAATCCTTTGCTTATACATAAGTTTTAAACAATAAAATCTCGATTTTAAGAAAATGTTTACACAAAATTTATTAACTGGCGATTTTCATTTATATAATTTTTATATACACAGCGTCACTCACACAATTAAGACGAATTTAAGGACACCTCAAACGTCAAAATCTATGATGCTGTTTAAGCTATACAGCGGGCCGAAGGAATAAAGATGCATACACTCAAAAAAAAACCCTCCTTCTGTAGTCGAGTAAAAGTAACCTGATAAATACAACAACAGTTTAATAAGAATTCTTGAATTTATCTTTTTCTATTTAAATTACCAAAGTGCTTCTTTGAACGTGCAGAACTGTCCGGAACACTGGAACAATAATGTTTTATTTTATTTTAAAGGCAACTCCCGCATTAGAAACACAGAAGTGATACAATTTAAGCACCGGCTCAACATAGGTTACTCGCCCCTATATGTCATATTTTAATAATTGTGTTTTAATTTGGTAATTTGATAAAAAAAAAATTTTTAGAGGGGGCAGACGAGCAGACGGTTCACCTGATGGTATGAGACTTTCCTCGTTCATAGACAAAATCGATTCAAGAAACACAGTTGCGCAGCCACCCTCTAACTGCGCCCTCCCCCAGACTTAGGAGAGGGTCAAGCAACCTTACCCATTCGGTGAAAAGTAATGGAAAGAATTACTTGAAAGCTTGTGTCCATCCGCATGGTGACGGAGTGTCACCTTTCATCGTAAGAGCCGACAAAGGGATCACACTACGCAGGAAAACAGCACTACAAAGAGAAGGAAAACTTGACACAAGCCCTATACCAACCCGTCTGGCCAGTGTGGTAGGCTAAAACCTCCTTTCTAGAGAGAGGCTTGTGTCCAGCAGTGGACTAATAAAGGCCGTTGATGCGTGATGTGACTCGACAGCAATTTGCCGTACGGACATGGCACGTGGTCCCACCACTAGCGTGCGCCAACCATCGCATAGCTCAACTGTAGTTTTAACTGATCTAGATAGAGATATAGAAGATACTTTTTTTGTAGATGGGGTGCACCATCCCTTCGAATCTCCTGCTCCTCGGCGACTCAGGAGCCAGGGGTATGTGAGGTGAGGTGATTCCACTAAAAACTACCCCGACGGATGGCCTCAGATGCCCCACTCTGGGAGGACCCGGACCATGTTATTTCAGGTTCTCCCTGAATTGACACCATGCCTAATCAGGCCCTATCCCACTGGAAAAAGCCTTGCCCCCCCTCAATCGTAACGTGGGGGCCCAATTGCGTCTTGCAATCAGGCCACCATCCTACCCCCTAGGATACTTACCGTCGATATGCAGGATAGACCCGAACACTGGAAAAACACAAAGATGAAGATTTACCAGAGCGTTTTGTCATCATCATCATCAACTGCCTTTAACAGTCCACTGCTGGACATAGGCCTCTCCTTAGAAAGGAAGTTTTGGCCTACTATACCACGCTGGCCAGACGGGTTGGTATAGGGTTTGTGTCAAGTTTTCCTTCTCTCTGCAGTGCTGGTGTCCTGCGTATTTCGCTCCCTTAGTCGTCTCTTACGACACCCACGGAATGAATAGGGGTGGTGACACTCTGTATTCTTAATCCGTCACCACACGGAGTACGGAGCGTTTTGTACGTATAGGTTTTTGATGTATCTAAATTCTTGCTCGCTTGTCCACCATATGCCCAGAACATACTCATAAGAACATAATAACCAGACTAATGATAAACATACTTACATTGCTATATTTCTAAAAATACATACATATTACAGATATATTATATGCAAATATAGAACAATTGATCATGGTCATCACATAATTATTTGCCCTCGGTGGCAACTAATCCCACTGCCAATGGTTTATTTCCCATGTGGTTGTGCCCGTGGCTTCGCTGGAAATACCGTTTCTTTGTTTGTTTTACTCTTGACAATCTGTATGATGGATGATGGATGGCCGGATGGCGTAGTGGTTTGTGTAACGGACTGCTAGGGTCGCGGGTTCGATTCCTGCTCAAGTCATTTTGTGTGTGTGTATGAACATTTAATGTTTGATTTGCTCTGGGTGTTTCTATCTATACTAATATTATAAAGCTGAAGGGTTTGTTTGTTTGTTTGAACGCGCTAATCTCAGGAACTACTGGTCCGATTTAAAAAAAAAATTCAGTGTTAGATAGCCCATTTATCGAGGAAGGCTATAGGCTATATATCATCACGCTAAGGTCAATAGGAGCGGAGCACCAATGAAGAATGTTTCAAAAACGGAGAAAATTTATTACTATTGAGAGACGCAGACGAAGTTGCGCGGGTTAGCTAGTGTATAATATGTATGTATTTAGAAAAAGAAAGTATATATGTATTTATATCAGTTGTCTAGTACCCATAGTACAAGCTCTGCATAGTTTGGGACTAGGTGGCGTTGTATGAATGTGATAGAATATTATTATTATTATTCATCAGGGTCAGTTGTGCAGCAAAGATTTAAATACGTTACAAATAAAACACTCACTTTCGCATTAATGGTATTCAGAGGGCTTTAGTTTTAGTTTCCTTTAACTGTATCATAGGCACAGCTTCTTTTTAACTTAGAAACTTGTTTACAAATAACTTTTTTCTACTTACCGTTGAATGACAGACTTCTCCGACACACTTGGAAAATAAAATTCTTAATTGATCATCATCATCATCATCAACCTATCGCAGTCCACTGCTGGACATAGGCCTCTCCCATTGCACGCCACTTAGATCGATTTTGGGCTTCTCGCATCCAGCTTAATTGATCAAAGTAATAAAGAGTTCCATTATCCCCTCCTGGATTCATACTCCTAGGGACTACTTACTAGGATTTGTAGCCGAAAATCAACCTTAGTGGCCTGTAGGCCTATGTTCAGCAGTGGACTGCGATAGGCTGAGGATGACGATGATAGTGGGGTTTGATACCTACATGTATCGACTTTAAAGCAGTTTTTGAACGTTGATATTTTTGTATTGTAAAGGCAGTTACTTGATTAGCCAAATTATACGATAAACCTATTACGCGATCTCTTTTAATAGTACTTAGAATGTAAATAAACCCAGCCACTAATAAAATACCTTAGAACAAGCCTATTACGTATACGGTAGAACTTACAAAGGAAGTCAACACTGATTAACTTTGTGACGGATTAAGAATACAGAGTGTCACCACCCCTATTCATCCCGTGGGTGTCGTAAGAGGCGACTAAGGGAGCGAAATACGCAGGACACCAGCACTGCAGAGAGAAGGAAAACTTGACACAAACCCTATACCAACCCGTCTGGCCAGCGTGGTATAGTAGGCCAAAACTTCCTTTCTAAGGAGAGGCCTATGTCCAGCAGTGGACTAGTATAGGCTGTTGATGATTGATGACGCAAGTTATAGAAAATATATAAGAATAATATAGAAATAGAGTCAAATTGACTTCTAATTTTTATGTACGTATTCATATTTCACATAAAGCTAATAAAGGCCTTGAATATATTTTAACAAAGACTTTGGTTAAGATTTTGGTAAGGTTAAGAAATGCTTCACATCTCTTGAAGTTTGTTCTTTGATACTTTTCGAATTCTATCGAGAATAATAAGGACTTTAGTTTGTAAGACGAGCACTGTAACTGAGGTAACACCGTGTGGTTTTTAGTCTCGCCGAGGCCAATTTAATCAAACACATTTTAGGATTTAGGATTTTAGGAGAGTCATGTTTAGGCACTAATGGGCATGCGCCTGTGTGATACCACACCCTCGTAGAACATCTTTGTTAAGCAGCTTTTTCGTTGCTTTTCATGGAGTGCGTGAGCATACCGGAACGCACTCGATGAAACTCTCTCCCTCT